AGGAGAAAGCCAATGCAATCTGAGAAACCACTGGGGAGCAACGCTGAGCAGCGCGGGAGGGGACCTGGTGCTCCGCGTAGGAGGCGGGATGGGAACAACACAGCTTGGCATGAAAGCCTGCATGAAGCTTTCCTTCCGTGTTGTCCTAGCACTGCGCTGAGCCACGCTCCAGAGTGCTTCCAGCAGCTGTTTGTTACAGCAGTTTGAGATGAGTTTCTTTCCCAGGCAGCAATGAGACTGCATTAAGAATGCTTCAGCATATAACAACAGACCACAGGCGAATGGTTTGAGCTTCAACAATGCTTGCAGCTGATAATGTTAATGCTAAACGTGTGGGACACCGCTCAAACTATACTTGAGCAAAACGAGGAGGAATATTTGCTTCCAGCTAATTGCCGAGCCTGTATGTTGTGCAAGGAAACAAAGAGCGTTCTAAATTAATTACCATCTGATCTTGAAGGTTGTGCAACAAAACTTCTCAGTTGCCTTCTCTCACCATCAAAAGAATTTGGGATGACGGGAGATTTCATGTTTTCGGCTCTGGAAGAGCAGAGGCGTGCCACAACAAGCCAGCTGTCTGCGTGCCCTGCCATCTGCGGAGCTCTTTTGGCAGTTCCCAGCTCGGAGGTGTTTCCTGGTGTGCAGTGAGGGGCTGCGGGCTGGGCAGCGAGCTGGGATGTGGGGAGCACAGCCTCACCCCAGCCCGGGACAGCCACCCTGAGCCAGAGCAGGCAGGCGGGATGGCACTGCACTGAGAGCAGCTCTGGAGCTGACATCCACCGCTGCACACACAACAGTGGTGATTAATTACTCCTGTGCCACCAACCTTGGAATTTGGTCGTTTATCATTTGCAGCCTCGTTTATCATTTCAGCAGAACTGCTGCCCCGCGTGCCGCTGCTGCTGTGCCACGCAGGCCAGGCTGTGCTCACACCCCGTGCCACCCCACACTCAGCTCTGCTCAGCTCTTCAGCATGGCCCTGGTGGCCACGATGCTCCTCCTCTTTATGAGACCTGGTTAAAAATAACGTGGTTTGATCTTCAGTGTGCAAAAGGCTGCAACATCTGTTCTCTGAAGGAGAAATTAGACAGAAGCAAATGAGTTGGGACCATAACTAAAAGGGCCTTACTGCTGCGGCACAGGGGGATGCCTGACTGTAGGACTTCTGCAGGAAGCACGAGCTGATCGCCTCATGTTTCTCAAATCTGGAGCTTGGGGGAACAAGCATGCCTGTGACTGTTTGAGCTCGGACTGTGTGTGTGAGGAGCTGTGCCCAAGTCCTCTCGCACTGCCCATGGCCCACTCCCAGCTGCAGAGCAGCAGCGCTGGACAGACATTTCCTCGGTGGGGGCAGGACAAACAGAGCTTTCCTTGCCTCCATCCCACCGCTGTGCTGAGCCCTGGGCACCTCCGGTCGGACTCACGCCTGCTCTTGCATCTCCACAAGGCTGTATTTTACAGGCAACTATAAAGGGCGCAGAGGGTGTCAATTATGGTTTTCAAACAACTGATCCACAAGAAGCCAAGTTATTTCAAGAAGGATAAGTGCAGCTGAAACCATCACATATAATTCACATCTGCCCACAGCATTCCTGCCCCGCTGATTTGAGAGCCCAGTGGTGGCTTCAGCTCCCGTCCTGCCTCAGATGTGACTCAGGGGACAGCAGGGTTTGCATTCCAGCACTGCTGCTTCCCCAGCACAGGCTGCAGGGACCCTTGGGCAGCAGGGGCTGCAAGATGGCACATAGCAGCACCTGTTCCCAAGGGAGTGATTTCCAGGTGATGCTGCAGGCACACACCCGCCTGGCGCTGCTCCTGCCCAGCTTTAGCTGACACACGTATTCATTAACACTCTGGTGCTTGGTTTTTGTGACAAGCATATGACAGCCTTGGCACTCCCTCCTCACCCTGGTGCTATTTAAATATTCCCCCTATTATTATTCGATAATGCATCCTACTACATATAGCTCTTGAGGGAAGAGGAAGATCAAACATTCTGTGCATTTTTTATCACCTTTGTTCTTTGCTGGAAAAACTTCACTGCAGTGATGACTGGCAAAAGAAATTTAGCGGCATCTTCTGAAAAATACTGGAGGATTACAAGTAAATGTCTCAAGATAACCCATACCATTGCGTTTGCTTCAATAGTGCTGACTTCTGGTATTTCTTGCTTCGCACTGTGTGCTGCTCTGAGAGCGTGCAGCAGCGGTGTGTTGGGGAAGGCACAGCATGCTGGCCCCCATGGCCATTTCTCCATCGGTATTTCCTTCTAGGCCAGCTCTGTTTGGGAGCAGCATCCCCACCTGCTCAGTGCACCCACCTGGGCTCCTTCCTGGCACTGCTGCCAGGCTCTGCTCTCAGAGCACAGCACCAGCACTTCTCCTCACCTTACTCCAGCCATCTCCCCATTCCCAGTGAGCACCCCCCAAGCCCGCAGGCCTTTGAGCACTGCTGTTCTGTTTCTGCTCTGGTGCTGTGTGCGTTGAGCAGCGTTTGGCAAGCACATCTTTTCCGATGACCAAACAAAAATTGCTGCTGGACACCTTTGCCTTTTCTACAGCACTAACAGCTTCCAAAACCACCAAGCAGAAATGCTACATAATGACAGAATTTCTTTTGTTTCTGGGAGACTGAAACACTGCTTATTCTCCTCAATTGCATCTCTCAAATTGCACCATCCTTATGTGAGCAAAGCTGCTTTAACCCCTGCAGTGTGGTGCTGCTCTCTGACCCAGGGCTCTGCAGCACTCTGAGGATCCCTGCCCATGGCTGTCAGCTGTCCTGGGCATTTCCTCCGGGGACTGTGCTGGATGTCCAGACATTGCCAGCACCCGCTGGTCTAAGGGGCTCCATCCAATGTGCCTCTGTATTTTTTCTCTTCTGCTGCTGGTGTTTATAAGTGCTCTGAATACAACGCCCCTTTCTCCTCAGCACATACCTGGAGGTAAATGTCTTTGCTGTGTTCCTGACCAGCTCCAAGGGAGGGATATGTTCTGAAGAAGGCCCCAAGCCTTTCCATATCAGCAAAACACACTCAGAGGAAGCGCCCTGCAGGAGATAAAGGCAGATTCTCCACGTGGCACCCCATGAACATGGCTCTGCGTGCAGTCCATGCCTTGCCTGGCTTTGGGACCATCACCATCAGGTGACAAATCACTGCTGTACGACAGCCAAGCACCTCTGATCTCAGGCAGAAACCTGCCACAGCACAGTGGGTTCTGGCAGCTCTGAACTCCACTTTGTCTTGGTTTTCCTTTTATTTTTTGCTTCCCAACCGGCAAAGTGCCTCAATTAACTTTGAAATTTTAGGTACAATGAAGCTAATTCCCGTGAAATATATCCATGATGTAATTTGCTCAAAGTGCTTCCCCCATTAGCAGCAGCTTGGCAAATAAATAAGTTCCAGAGCAAGTGAATTTCACAAAGCCAACCCTGACAGCATTGAAAAGAATAACAGGACCAGGCAGCAATTTGTCAGCAGTTAGTATTTAAGCCACGGAGGCTCATGATGGTAAAAGATGGAGCTGCTACATAGCCTGGTTGAAATATCCCCAAGCCAGGTGCAGTGAAACCTCACAAAGCAGTGCAGAGACCTGGCAAAAACCTGTGTGAAAAGGAAAAAAGCCACATGCCAGCCCTACTGCCCCAAACACCTCTTTCCTCCTTCTTTCTGCCACCTCTTAGGGCAGAGTTAAGGTTACCCACTGCTCTCCTGAAGGTGGAGGGGTAAGAGCCCCTCTCTGCTGCGCTGCAGAGGGCATTGCGGGCATTGCTGAGGAAGGAGAAATAATAGGTTGGCTTTTTTGTTTTGCAAAGTCAGAAACTACATCTTAAGGCTGAAGCCTGTTGTTATGTTTTGTGTTATTTTTGGCACGCTGACCGAAGTGCGCTCAGTACGAATAGCAAAGAGCTGAAAAGTAAATATTGTATCCACTGGGAGCAGCGAGCAGGGGAGGGCTGTTATATTGCTTAATGGATCACCCCCAGCGCCTGTTTGGGTTAGGCTTACAGTAATTGCTCCCTAGGTGAGTTTACACCAACAATTGATCATTTCAAATGGGAAAGAAGTACAAATGAGTAAGAGAATAAACACTGACAGCGTTACGAAACGCCGAAGAGGCGAGCAGCAATCCCATGCAGCTCGAGCACGGCTCTGAAAGCAAAGCCGACCGGACAACAGGGGATACTGTTTGCTCTATGCGCAATTCCTCGTGCGTGCTGAACAACACCAAGTACAGAGAGACGAAATGCAGTGCTCTCAGCACGCCCTGGCTCCAGCTCCATGGCACAGCCCTGTCTCTGCATGTGAGGCAGCGTGGTGGGCTGGGGCTCTGCCCTGTGCTCCAGCTCTCTCTCAGGGGCACTACATGGAAGAAGGGCCGCAGAGCTCCGCAGAATGCAACAGGAACCTGGTGGCATTTCCACCAAACCAGGGCACGGGGTTAGGGATGCAGCCCAGCTCAGCCTGCTGCCCTCATCACAGGGAAGAGAAACTCTCCCTCGTCAAACAAAAATACCTGTTCATTCACAGCACAGGTGGAGGAAGCCAGGATCCCCCAAACCCCGCTGCACGTGCCATTAGTAGGTTCAGCTGTAACTACGGCCCTGTCCCTCTCTTCCACACATAAACGTCACACACACGCACATGGCAGCTCAGTGACCATTCCTTGGGCACACAGACCCAGGACCAGTGGGTTTCAGCCTGGAAAGAGCTTTCTCAAACACCTGGCTGAAACAGTGTCACACTGACACCACCATCCCTGCTGGCAACCGCCACTCTCACACACGCATGCTGGGATAAGCACAGAGCCCGAGCAGGGTACAATTTATTGCACCACTCACTCAGAACAGACTGGTGATTAAGCACGGTGATAAGCTGCACAGGGCACCATTTTCATCTGCCCAACAGATACATATCAGCTACTTATTAATCATGATAAAAAGAACACAAAACCTCCCATGGCACAGGACTTCAGTTGTGCCACAGAAAAACAGCAAAGTGTGTTTTATGTTTGCAGCTTTATTACAGTACAAAAGGTTAAAGGCAAAGCTAGAAAAATGAACCAATTTGTACACGCCTGCTGAATGCTTTTAAGACAAGATACGGCAGTAAAGCTTTTATTGCTAAGAAGAACAAGTGAAAGGCTTTAAAGTTCATATGGCATTCAATTTTTGTTCATAAGTAACACAAATTTAAAGCAGCTTTTCAGTCGTTAAAGCTTTCTTGCCTTTCTGGAATGCTGAAAAGAAAGATGACCTGAGGACAGTGTCTCCTCTCTAGACAGAGCAGACTTATGCTCTGCGTAAGTTGCAGAAATGGGCCACCAAGGAATGTCTAAACAAAACCCAACTGCCTGGCTCTGAAATCTGGCTAACAACATAGTGCTGCACAGCACCCATGGAGCCAGCACTCCCTGCAAGGTGCCAAAGCAAGGTCACCCAAAGGCCTGCCAGCTGTCCCTGTGCCCTGGGGCTGCAGCAGAGGGGCACCGTGCACTTGCCCCAGGCTGAGCCACGGAGCCAAGCCCAGACATCTTGTATGTCCTGTGCCAGCTACTGGACTGTACCTTCTTCTGGACGGGTGGGACTACAGGCAGTGGGAAACTGAACGCTTCGGGGATTGCCAGGGATCAGGGATATCCCTGGAACATAACAGACTGGGCTGGCCATGCTTCAGGAGGTACCGCTGGTGCGGCCACTGCAGCCTGTGCAGCCGTACAGGGACCCTGCAGTCACAGCTGCTCCTGGAGGAAGGGGTGCCCTAGTCCTCAGGGATAGGGGTGTTGCAGTTCCCGTGGTAAATTTTGACCTCACCGTCGCACCGAAAGTACTGATCAAACACATCGCTGTACCCGTGGTCCTTCCACCACGTGCAAAGCTGACGGTTCCATGTGCAGTCGAGCACGTGGAACAGTTCTGGATGCTCCATCCCCACCATGGTGAAGAAATCCTGGTCCCCAAGGTGACCCTTGAAGTGGTACTTCTCTGTGAGCTTCTGCACCATGCCAGGTTCCAGCAGCTGGTTGTAGAGCTTGGAGCGCCTCATGGCTTCCAGGTTGAGGAGCAGCACACCGCTGTTGAAGCCAGGCAGCCCGTCAGGAGGGGGCTCCCCCACCCTGGTCTGGGGGTTCTCGCGGCGGTACTGCCAGAACGTGTGCCTGGGGACAGAGGGGAGGTCATTAGTAGGGAGGTCATTAGAGCGGAGTCAGTGAGCACAGCTGAAGAGCAGCCACCACCAAAAGTCTGGGCAGGCTGGAAATGAGCCCCCCCCGCCCAGCGTGGTCCCTTGTGGCTGCTGCTCTCTGCCTTCCTGCATGAGATATTGTCCAGACCTCAAATTGTTCTTCCTGCTCTCTCCTAAAGCCTCTTTTGTGTGCATCAGCATCCTATGCTGAGTGAACTCGGGACACGGGATGGTGTGGCTGCTCACATGGCTGTGCATGGAGAGGAAATCACATCCTTCTTTCTTAGGTCAAATGACCACATATGCTCCACTGCTACTCAGCACCAGTTTTCACAGCCCCTCCTGGGCCACAGCCCTCTGGGATGCACACTGCAAATGCATGGCAAGGGAGGTGATCCCTGGTCCTGGCATTCTGCTGCAACACCAGGTGTTCGAGCGAGCTGCACAAAGTAGGTCAGCTCTGTCTGCAGGACAGTCTCAGGCACTGATGTGCAAGCTGCAAATCTTATCAGCACTTTTTGTTTCTCTCCAGAGCCCTGGTAAAAATACTGAACAAAAGTGGGCAGAGTACAACAAAAAGAAGCCAACGGTGTCAGGAGAGCTGCTCTCACCTCACCTACAGCACCTGCAGCCATGCTCTCCTCGTAGCCCTGCTGCCCAACAACCTGGCAATGCTCTGGTTGGTGGAGTGTGACTGCAGCCCCACGCCCTGCCTGAGGACATCCATGTGGCTTCACAAATGTCACAGCAGAGCCGGTCCCTTTGCGTTGCTCACTAGCAAGATCAGCAGATGGGAAACGTCAGGAACAGGGTTAAACCTGACACTGAGCCAGGGGTTTTTGGTGTCTCTTAAGTATGCATACAGTGCGCATTTTCCACATTATCTGGTCTTATATATTGAGGTTCAGACACCTGGAGACAGTCGTCCTTATCTCTGTCACCCATCAACAGTGGCTGAGCAGGCTGGGACTGTTGCTGCACAGGGAGGTGAGGAAGGGGAAGGCCTCGCCTTGCTCTGGCACTCACTGTCTTGCCACAGCATCAGCCGCAGCCCCTCCACATGAGCTCCGTGTGCAGTGCAGGAACCGCTCCCTACCGCTTCACATGGCAAGGAGCCATTAAAGCATCCTTCCAGCTCCAGGAAGGAACCGCAGGACGAGAGCTCCCTGCGGAACGAGCTCAGCGCCTTCTTGTTCCTGCCAAAAAATGGTCTTGGAGGCCCAAGCTAACACCGTTCCCATGGAGACCTTCAAAGCAGCATCCCAAAGCGGCCAGCAGCCTCGTCCTTCCCAGCAGCACGCTTTGAAGGCGGCAGAGCGCAGCCCCATGAACGGCCCAGCCCGACTGCCCGGCTTCCTGCAGGGACATTGTTTGCACCACATACAATGCAGGGCTTTGCGAGCGGCGATAGCGCGGGCTCCGCTCAATCAAAGGCTCCTCTCAGGACAAACGTGGAGCAAACCCAGCTGCAGTGGTGTGAGGATGGTGAGCTCGGTCCAGACCATGTGCCAGTATCACCATGCTGAGCGGTGGCTGGGGACAAGCTGCATCCACCTGGCAGCGCTGTGCTTTGGAGGGCAACAGCTGGGCCAGAAGGGTCAGGGAGCCCAGGGACCACAGGGGACCGGGATTGTTGGGACCGCTGCCGGGCAGGCAGCACGGCTCTGGGACACCAAACGCCGCTCAGCTGCCCAGCCTCGCTGCTGGCAGAGCAGCACACGGCAGCAAGGCGGTCAGCCTCCGCTCTGTAACAGTGTAACACCAACTGCAGGTAGTGGAGCCATGGCATCACTGTTGTTATTTGATTATAGGGAAACTCTGGATCAAAACTGGGCCTGGGTTTGGGGCCGTGCAATAAAGTTTGCAGTAGAAATATTTCTTCTTCAAAACGAGATGCTCAACGGCAACATTTCGTTAGCTCAATAAGCACTGCCTTCAGCTTCTGCAGCCCTGGGAAGCTCAGATGCAGTAGCTCTGGCAGGCATGATCTCCACTAGCTAATTTCCAGCTGCCACAGAGAACAGAGTGCTGCGAGTTTAGGAACACACAGAATTAATCTAAGAGAGTGATTCAATTGGGAAAAAATCAGACTACCTCAGTAAGCAGCACAAATACGTCTTTGGCTCCTTCCACAGCCCCAGGGCAGTGAGCACACCCCACCATATACAAGCTGTTCCCACTTGCAGGAATTGAATCCATCCCATGCTGTTACCCAAGCAGCTTCTGCTGGAGTTGTATCTGCCCCACAAATCACTGCCATTCAGAAGGTCTGCTGTCCCTGAGCAGCATCCTCTGTTGAAAGCCAGGCAGAGAGCTCTTCTCTCACTCTGGCTCTAAAGCTACACCACCTCGCTATGAAGCTGTCAGGGAGAAACACTGCTGAGAATACAAAGAATACATCAAGCATGTCTGATACCTCTCTGAATTTGCCAGGCACTGACCAAAGCCTCCATACACCTACACAGAAAACAAGAATTTGATGGTATGTGGTTGGATTTAGTACCCAGAGGTTTGATATGCTTCCAAGCTTGGAAGCGGAACTAATTCAGCTGTAAGAAGATGCAAGGAAATCAGCTTCTGGGACACCTGAAGAGCCCTGCTGGGTACTCCTGCACTGGAAAAAATTTAAATCAAAACTTTTCTTGTACTGAGCTGTGCTCAGCTCTAACGCTCCAGGAATCCCAGGGCTGTGCAGAGAGCAAACAAGCAAACCTCCTCTGGCCTCTCCTTGGGTGCCCAGGGTCTGGAGCCCTGATCAGGTGTCACCATGGGGGCTGGAAAGCAGCAGTGCACAGGTGAGTGATCCTGGTGGAAAGTTCTATTAATGATGTCTGTGTACACAGTTTTAACTTCCTGAGAAATAAAGGCAGGAGAACCAGAGCTGTAACATGCCATTTCTTCCTTACCATCCTCCATTCAGATGCTTCAGATTCAGAACTCTGAAATTTCTCATTTCATTCAGGGTGTTTCTACCATTCCCTTTCATCTGATTCACGATGGAATGGGTTTTTGAAAGTGCCAATTTCCCCTGGAAGGAAGGCTCAGCTTTGAACAGCTGTCTCTAGGCCTCCTGGGGAGAGGGAGCAGAGCACTTGCTGTGGGCTCACTGCTTCACTGGGAGAGCGCAGGCAGCATCCAGATCTGAAGGGGAGAGAGGGGTTCTGCCAGTGCAGAGGGCAGCTATGTCCTGCAAAGATGACTTGTGGGCACTCCTGGAAAAAGGAAGCAAGATCTCTAGATGTAGCATTAGAGGGAGTTTCAATGTGCAGAAGCAAGACCCAGCCTTGCACTCATGAGCTGCTCAGATCCAGGCTGGAGTGCTGTACAGAGGACTTGAGTGCAGTCCCAGGCTCTGAGCAGAGCTTGGCTCAAGCTCATCTCTGCATATTCTGCTCTCTCTCCTTACCCTCAGTAATTCCCTGAAAGTAACTGTCAGCCCCAAAACACGATGAAAGTGACTGGCAGAGTGCTGTGCAGAGCCCGAGAAGGAGGTGCCTTTCCAGCTCCAGAGCACTGGAACAGATCATTTGCTGTGCGTTCTCAATTCCAAAAACACACACTGTCCAAGCTGTTGCCAGGCTGCCAGCAAAGGGACAAAATTACACCCTCTGCAAGTTGTTGGCTGTAATAGGGAAAAGGAGAGAGCTGTGGCCCCTAGCACCACCCTGCTGCAAACTGCAGCTTCCCAGCCCAGAGCATGAACAGATCTGTATCAAATGACTCAAGTTTTGAGCAATACCATTCCCCAGTGGATTACCCCGTGATGGCTAATCCAGGTAACAACGCGGGGAGAGGAGACGGACAAACAAGCAGCAATTGTTCCAGTGCTTCCTCCAGGCCTCAGCCAGGCTGACACAAAAGCTGTGCTCTGCCTCCCAGCACGCAGGCAGCACGGCATGATGCGATGGGGAGCACGGGGCCCCTGGGAAGCAGGGATGCAGGATGCGAGGAGCACAGCACGGCACTGACAGACACTGCCTGCAGCACCATGCTGTCCTTCCCTTTACTGGGGCCAAGGGAGAGAAAGGTGTTCCGTCAGGGCTGCTGTCAGCATTCCTTCAGCCTGAATTCACTCAGCTTTTGTCCTTCCAAGGATGGCTTTCCGTTGTCTTCTCCAGGGACCGGGGTAGAGAAGAACAAGGTTGAAAAATGCCTCCACCCACCTGGAAGTGGATCGTGAGATCATAACTTTCCCTTAAGGAACCAGGCCTCAGACTGCCACATCCATCCCCAGCTCCCACAGAGGGGCAGCAGCCTGGGCACAGGCCAGGACGTTCCTGTGGGCACAGGGCTCGGGCAGCACCTGTTCTGTGCAAAGAACCCCTGTGAGAAAGGGGCTGCTTCTGCTGTCCCCTGCGGGCACTGCTGGCTGCTACAACCTGTCCCCTGCTGGCACCTGTGATTTTCCTTGGGCTGTACTCTGCATAACGTTCCCTGTGGGAAATGAGTCTGCAGGTGCTTTTCAATGGGGAAAACACACATGGAAACTTCTGGAAAAAAAACGCATTAGCAGGTGCTCTGCAACAACAGGACAAGCTGTGTAAAACACACAGTTCCCCTGACACACAGGAAAGGCAGCTGGTAGCACATCATGAGGCCCATGTGGCGGGATGGTGCCTGCGCAGGGCAGGGCTGGCACTGCAGCAGGACGGATGGTGCATGAGGGATGGGACTCACAGGGCTGCTCTGTGGGAAGACCCCAATCCAGCACAAGGCCAAAGCAGAGTTGTGGCCATCAGTGAGCACAAAGCTACCCACGGTGCTGGTGCTGGAGCTCCATGTGCCCACCCAGCTGCAGCACTGCCGGCCTTGGCCGTTTGTTGCTCGTGCCCCCTGCTAAGGCAGGAAGGCAGCCCAGAGACCCCAGCCACCATGGGGATGAAAAGCAGCAGGAAGCAGCTTCCTGGTGGAGGGGAGGAAAAAGGAAGAGAAGGCATTTCAGGCTTTTGTTAACCACTGGGCTGACTGTGGCCC